GCCGCGAGGTGCGAGCCTCGGGGGATGAAGGGGATCCCCAGGAGAGGCTGCGCAGGGCGGAAACCTGCTGCCGAACATCTACGGGGCCTTCGCTCCCGCTGCCTCCGAATTGCTGGGAGCAGGGAGGGAAGCTGGCTGAAGGCCGAGGTGGATGCTCGTGCCGCCCTGACAACCACCATGCCTCAAACCAGGAGTGAAGTCTCCGCTCTTGCTAGTCTTTGCCCCTCGAACGCCAGTCCTGCGCTGAGCTGCCTTGATTTGGCCTACCGGCCTGTGTACGTGTCCCTGCCTGCGCAGCCCCAGAGGCTGAAGTGACATTTTATTTATCCCTTCTTAGTTTTCATGTGTCCTGCCCTTGTGCATTGCTTTCAGCGTTGCACACAAGGAAAAATAATCCTGCATGAGGCTTTGGCACGAGAGCGTTTCGTAGGGCTGAGGGAGTTTCATTTCCTAGATAAATGTCACGTCGAGCCCCAGGGGCTGGGGAGAGGGAAGAGCAGCTCAGCAGGGGTAAGCAGCCCTGATTCAGCAGTGCAAGGGACCCCTTCCTCACTCCTGCTGGCAGCAGGAGTGAAATCTGGTCCCAGCGGTGTCTGAGCTCTCAGGAAGGGCACAAGCTGTCAAGCATTGCGTGTGCATTCAGTAGCGTGGAATAAGGAGGTATCTTGCAGTCTGTGCTCCCAAACCTCATTGCTGCCTTGTCACGTGGTCTGTCGGGTCCTGTCCCGCCCTGGTGGGAAGGCAGTATTTTACAGCGCTCTCCACTCCTGTGTAAAACCGAAAGTCCCCACATGGGAGAGTTTCCTTTCAACTTGTGTCGGCAGCAGAAAGTACCTCTGTGAGGCCCCAAGGTCTTGCAACTATGCAGAAGGAGAATGACTCTTCCCCACCAAGGGGTGAGCTTGGACATGTCTGCATGCTTTTCCACAGCGCACACCCACGTGTCCTTGTGGCTCTGCTCTTGGAGCGCCCTGATGGGCCCTCCAGTTGCACTCAGCATGTTTCCTTTCTTGATACCATCAACACCTTGTCTTTCTGAAACTTCCTATAAGTCGCCGAGCTCCTTCTCTTTTCATTGCAGATACGTCTCTAACTCCTGCTGCAGAGCTCGGCCTTCCATGTACATGCTTTGATCACAGATGGCCATAATTCATGCTGCCAGTGTCTGCATCTGAACTTGTATTGTTCCCTGAAAAATGAGATAAAAATGAAGCTGCTTATTGCCAGGGAGCTTATTGCTCAAATAATACAACACAGCTGTCGATCAGCCCTGTTGCTGTGTTACAGTTATTGGGAGCGTACAGCCATGGGCCATGCTTTGGCCTCAGGCTGCAATCCTACCTAATCATAGCATCCTATTTCAGCTCTGAAAAATGACAGGTTGCTGCTCTTAAACCCCTCTCTTTAGGAGGAGGAGGATGCTGGAGTCACTCTCAGTTCAGCAGTTGTTAAAGAATCAGGGTATTAAGAAAGGCACTATCTTTGTGCATTTTTACTTTGCAGGTGCTAGGAGTTTCAATACTTCAGATATGCTGAATTTAAACAGATTTTAAAATGCCTTCAAAGTCAAAGTCGAAACAAGCCCTTAATATATTCTGAGGGGGAGATGAAGAGGAGTGGGATAACCCCCAAATTATAAACTGTTGCAAATTCAGGCTTGACTCCTCAATGATGCTGTCTGTGTTTGGACTTATTGCCTTGGAAATCTTGATGCAGATTGTTTGAAGAGCTCTGTTGTAATTATGAGCGTGAAATGCATGACACAGGATGTTTTGTTTAGTGGATCCTTCAAGACTCTTCAATCTATGTCAGTGCATCACTAAAAAAAAGTTTTTAACTTGAAAATGTGAAGGAATAAAATCAGTGTGCAGCTGCTGCATGTGAGCAGCTTACCACGATGTAAGACAGAAGAAACAGGAAACAAAACCTGATTTGTATCAACAGAGGGAAGTCCCCTGCAAAAAATGTTGAGCAGGGACAGTTGAGGTAAACAGGGTATTTCTGCAAGTGAAGGAACCGCTTGTCAGCCTGCTTAATGAAGGGACCGTTGTGTCAGTCTGCTTATAACCGAGGTTAGAAAAATCATGAACCAACGTGACAAAATATCTAGAAAGGTGAAGTTAGATTTGTAACCTTAGCGTTCACCAAATAAATTGGAACAAAGGACTTACTTTATTGTTAACTGAAGCTCCGCAACTGGACTCTGACATCACCCAGCCTCTGCTGGGTTCAGCAGCCGATGTCCTTCCCACCTTTGTTCTGCTCCTTCTCGGAGGTATCTGAATGTCTCTGCGCAGACAATGAGTGACCAGGCGCTTTGGCTTTTTCAGGGTGTCACCCAAAACAGCTGTGAGTTGGCTGCTATCCTCCCTCCCCCCTTCCCTCCCTCCAAAACTAGGACATCTAAATTTAACCTGCTATCAACAGACGAGGCTGGAGAGTTTCCACTGTGGAAATGAATCCCACTTAGAACCTGTCTGCTCTTCTGTTCAGACTCCATCAATGCAAATTCCTTCCTTTGAGCCATGACCTCGGATATGCTTCATTTCTCTCCCTTCCCCTGCAACATTTGTGTTTGTTATAGTGCTGTGTGCCTGTACTTTCCCAAATAGAGTACATAGCTATACACGTTTCATGTGCGCACACAACTAAGTTTCCTGGCTTCCTCGTAGTAGCCCACAGAAGGCTCCTGAGCAAAAATGGTTGGCCACAACCTTCAAAGGGTTTAACAGACTTGTAACAGACTCTCTTGCTCTCTCCAGACAGGACCCAGGGAGATGCAGCAAAAGGGAGACATCGGTTTGAGGTGCTGTTTTTGGAAGGGGTGCCCTGCAGAATCACTGCCAGGAAACATGCACCCCCTATGCATGATCATGCATGGTCTGGGAAAGCCCCTCAGTAGTGGGGTGGCATTTACAGACAGTGCGCAGGAGTCTGTGTCCTAGGCGTGCTGGGTGGGAGCCAATGCAGCAGCATGATCTGGCATAAGATAAAATCTTTCCTCTGCTGCTTTTTAGAGAAGTCCTGATGCCTCTGTACAGGCTGGATTAGGAACTAGCAAAATAGCAGAAGTTCTGAGAGAACCAGAAAAAAAAAATGGAGAAACATATGTCTTCCTTGCAGGCAAAGCTGGTGGGAAGGGAGCTCACAGGGTGACTGGCATGTGGCAGGAGGAGCTGCATTGCAAACCTGGAAGGTGCCAGAGTTGGACTCCCCTGGTTAATGGGTTAGCCCATGAGCTGTGCTGGCCAGTTGTCCAGGCCCCCTCGTTTTCCCTGAAAACATCTTCAGTATTTAGCTTCTTCACTGGAAAGCAAATCAAACTTAAGTGTGAAAAGTGTTTGTGGGAAGAAATCATGAAATAAATGCAATGGGGTGTTTGAAAACTGGTCATATACTGCAGCAGCTCTTAACCTCTCTTTCGGCTGTTTGCTAGGGTCTGAAAGGCTGGGGCTGCTTTCTGCTTCCTGGGGTCCTGGAGGCTGGGTGAAAAGCTGCCTCTTACCAGATGCAGTATTTACAGCTAACGTTTGGCCAGTCTTTTGCTAAATAAGCAAACAGCATGAGGAAACTGAACTGTGCAGAAGTTCAGCCGCTCTGTGCCCTGGTAGCTGCTCCAAACTAGATTAGTTTTGTCATTCTATCACAAGATACACAGCAGCCTGATAATGAAAAATGCAGGATGCTGACTGATATTTTTAACCAGAAACCTCAGCGCTGTTATCTGATGCAGTGCAAGAGCTGAAACAGAGAGAAAATGCACTCATTGTAAAGAGGTTGTTTAGCACAGTCTTGAAATACGAGTGCAAATGTGGTGGAACTGTTTGTTTAAAAACAACCACCACCCAAACAACTCCAGGCAGATGTTTGAAAATTCCACTTTATTTTCTGTCTGTTATAAAAGCAGGGTTTTGTTTTTACATCTGTGTAAGTGTCCAGACTTGGTACATCTTGGTTTTGTTTTCACAGTATCTCTGCAAGACCAAGGACGATTCTTATTGCTGCGCCATGAACCAGGGCCGAATGCTAAAGAGAAACCACTGTTTCCAGGTTCAGGTAACCACCGTCTTACCCCTGCACGCTACTGGACTTTGCCTTACTCTCTGTCACACTGGCTGAACAGGTCTTCCCCTCCCTGTTGCTGTTTAATGTCATTGTTCGCTCTCTGCTGGGCTGCCCCACTCTTGCCACATTAGCCTCTGTATTAAGAGTAGGAAAGTAGAAGTGAGAACTAGAGCTGTCTGTAACGTTGTTCAGCATGTTATGCATGCTCACTAGTGTCTGCAAGTCCCTGCCACCCGTCTGGCGAGAGGTTACGGGTGGAGGGTCTCGGCCACGGCTTACCACAGGCCCTGCTTGTTTTCACCCTGGACCATTGTGTGATTTTTTTTGACAGGGCAGGTCGGGCTAGACTCTGCAACAACACGTCAGCTTGGGTGGTGATTTGGGGCTCTAAAGCGCTGAGTATTACTGATAGGAGAGGTGAGACTGCCAGGCTCATTGGACAGAGGCAGAAAGAATCTCAGGTTGGTGCTCCCTCACCTTCCCGATGTATCCTTTGTGTGTTCCTGTTTGTTACTTGGCTGCCAAAAACTAACAGAGAAGGAGCTTTATTTACCTCTGTTGACTGCAGCCACTCAGTGCAGGATGCCCTGGATCACTAGACATTTAAGTCCCAGCTGGGACTTTATCAATCCCCATTCTAATTGTATAGTTATTAACCAGCCATATAAACAGTGGTGTCTGTAGCACTTGTCACTTCCAGCCATCGTTCCTTTTATGTTCAGTCAATCTGTCCTCGTCAGTTTTGTAATGAAGCAGCATTGGAAAAACATCACTTTTATTCACAAAGCATGAAATCTTAAATGAGGCAGCGTCACTTTTCTATGCGATGTCTGGTAAAGTGAATCAAGATGGAGGGGTATGTTTTGCACTAGGCACGGGATAAAGGCATCCTTTGGGAAGGGAAGGAGAGGTCCATGCAAAGCTGACCCCAACATGAAATTTGAATTTCACATTTACTGCTCAGCTGGATCTACTCAGTGCAACAGGACAAATTAGCCAGGAGGTTAGTATCAAATTGCATGGATGCATCCAGTCCATCAGCCTGAGGGAATAGGGAGGAACCAGATTTACTTAGTGTGCTGGGAGACTAAGTCCAACACAAAGCTAAGTGGAAAAGGACGTAGGTGTTCCCTGAATGTGATTTTTGGTGACTGAGAAGAAATCTTTCCTTGGAATTCCTTTGTGCAACTAATTAAGACAACTGGGTCTGATTTCTTCAACCCAGGTTGACATCAGTGAGAACTGTAAGTACTCAGCACCGAAAACAAAGTGAATACCAGACATGAGTATCCCTTCTACTCCCACCTGTGGGACTGCCCAGAAGTGCATCTAAGCAGTAGCTAAGATGCATGCAAGTATTATCAGTTATTCACCTGCAGCTTGAATTTTGTCCTCTTTTGCATGTATTGCCTAGGAGAAAGTACAAGCAAGTCCCAAGGGGCTGTGCCAGTCAAGCTGTAGTTAGAATTTGAATCCACGTGAGAAAATGGAGTTTAACAGAGAGAGTGACTGTGCAAGTCAAAGCCTCCCTAGCTTCATCCTTGATAGTCCCAAAGGCTAGATTTAGGCTACCTTTGGCTTGTGGATTTGGATTTAATCCAGTCCATTTGTTTGCAAGCTGCTTGTAACACTGGGCTTCCTGCCTCAGAGATCTGCCCACTGAAGAGAGAGCAGGCCTTTCCCTGCTGCCGTGGCTGAGCATCTCTGAGAAACGGTACATGGAGGAGGGCAGTCTCTCTGGAATTTGAGGAATACAGTTGCCAGGACCCAGTATCCCCGTTTGCTGGTTTGAGACTCTCATGGCAGGGCATCTCTTCTGAGTATGCTGTCCCCAGGCAGGGGGCTGATGTTGAACCTGTTGCCAAAGCGTGTGGCTTTGGAGAAGAGAGGAAGGAGAATTTCTTGCTTCTAAGATGCTACGTGGAAGAAGAAGGTAATAATAGCAGCTAACTCGTGTCACTCAGAGAGGAGAGCCTTTTGAACGAGTGTGTGTGTGTGTGTGTGTGTGTGTGTGTGTGTGTGATTGTAAGACCTGTTTAGACCAGCTCAGCAGGGCCAGGCCTGTATGTAGCATGCTGAGCTCTCTTCAGTCCTAACTCTTGAGACAAATTGTGAATAAGAGGAAGAATTGTTATCTAAGGGGAAAGAGCTGCAGAGGAAAGGGGAAGTGATTTGCCTCAGGCCATGTGCCTGGAGTAAGCAAGCGGATCTCCTGTGCCCTGTCCTCCAGATGCCACTTCCACTCTACAACTTCCTCTGCCTGCAAACTGTGCCCCTCCCATTCAAACTGCTTTTCTATACCTCCTTCCTTTGAAGAAATACATCTGGTTATCTCTGAAGCCATCTGGACAAGGTCCTTAATGAAACCTACAGGTTCCAGCTCCTGCTCCAAATGTACCTTATTTACTGGAGCGTCTTCACCCAAGATTCAGGTGTTTCCCTTCTTGTGCCTAATCCTTTGCTACATAGATACTTGTGCCATAACCAGACAGGTACAGTATCACCTATGGTCCTGTCTGTACCCCATTCCTGAAAGTCATGTAGATCATGAGGTCATTTGGAGAAAAAGTCTCTATCAAACCCAACGTGATCTATAATCATAGGAAGAAAGAGAGTTTTTCATAGCTTTTTTTATAGTGCTTGCTAGGAATAGATGCCTGTTATTTTCAGACATGGCTGTTCCTGAATTATGCATATAGCTGGGTAGACTCAGTAGATAAAATCTGCCCTTGCTTACACACATGCATCTCCAATGACTTCAGAAGGATCCTTTTTATATCCTGCTCTTCTTACAGCACCATCATTGGGATATTATGGGAATTAGGGGCAACAGAACTTCAGCCTGTGTATGAGCCATTAGCTGTGAACACCATGAGAAAGAGAGACTGTGGGCTAGCTGGGCAGACAAATGTCTTCATTTCCTAAAGGCAAACACAATGGAAAATCCTCCCTCTTGATTTATGTTGACTCCTAGGGCCGCAGTTCTAGCTGTTGCCTTTGCCTGCGAGATTATCCCATATTATAATGCTAATGGCAGACTGAGATCAGCAAGTGTAAGCAGCACAAGCTTGCTTACTATCCCTTCTGTGAAGCAGGGAGATGGCCTAGTAGCTCCCACTCAAAAGACATCCTGTGACAGGTTTGTCAGTTGCATTGCTTTGAAACTGAGATTATTTCCATGCTTCCTTGTTTCATGTTTTAAAACCAGGAAGATTTTGTTTTCATCATGCTTCTTCCAATTTCATGCCCTTTTCATCAGCCTGTAACACACTGACAATCTATTCCTTGTTCCAAAACTTTCTCCCAAAAATTCTGTAGAAAGGACATTCTGCCTGGTGGTATTTTTGTTTGTTTCAAACATAGCTTTAAGGCAAAAGTTTGGCAATGCAAAGCAAAGTCTACATAAGGCCGCATGACTTGGATTTGCAACTCAGAACCTTTACAGCTTAAAAAAATTTCCTTATCTTAAATAGTCAACTTTTTGCTCCAGGAACTTGTTTTGTTCTCAACCAAAAAGAAAGAAAGACTCCTAAAATCCCAAATAAAATGTTCTTATTGTTCTGGGCAGTCTGGACAAGCTAATGAGACTGAAATTCAAACAGTAACTAAAGTAGGGAAGAAAAAAAGCTATACGGACAGACGTTAACGTTAGTTAGTTTCTTCCCTTAGGAATCCAGTGATGAGACAGACCCCACTCAAAGGTCTCCTCTTTAGCTTTAGCACAGTGAAATCCGTCCCAATGGGAGAAGGTAGAATGGTTGCATTTCTGTTGAATGAATAAAAAGTGCATTTTGATTTTGCTCAGATTATACGTGTATATTCTAATACCTAAGCGTTTTGTTTTTCTCCCTTCTGGTGCCGGGACGTCAGGTTGCTATTATCGGTGTTTTGGAGGTATCACCACAAGTGGTGGTCCATCCTTTGGCCTCCACATGAGTACCTGAGCATCATTGGCATTGGGTTTGACAAGGGCACTGGGTGGTATTGGCTCATTCTTGCTAAGGACCTGGGGCTGCTCTTGAGCAGAGGGCTCCCGCAGCTTGGCACGCTGCCCCAAGGGTCTGCTGGGATTTACCTCTATGCCCAGCCTCATGCGCCATTTGATAGTCTGCAAGGTCACCATTTCATTGGTAGCTGTGTTGGTTGCAACCAGCCAGGTGGTGAAGCTTTGATCCCGGTGAATGCTTGTGAGTTTTGCCACGTTGCTCTCGCTTACGGGCACTGCCCACGTGACGCTCGGGTAGAAGTTGTCGTTCATGCTAATGTTGAACTTGGATTCTTTCTTTGTGGGGCCCACAATGGTGCAGGTTTCTGTTGTATTTCCATACCAGGGATAGTTCACTCCATCTGAATCACTTATGGCTTGGATTTTACCGTCTAGTAGATCTGGAAGCTCCCAACTTGACCTGCCACAATCAACAACAAATTATGGATAATGCATTAATTAATTAGCTTAGGACCATGCAGGATTTTAAGAAAGAAGAGGAAATTGTTGTGAATGTGTTCCCCCTTTATCTTTTATGGGAATTTATGGCACTCATGTCATCCTGCATAAAAAGCTCTTCCCTGCCATTAAAACTTTGTCTGCAAATTTACAGGACCGATCATGAAAGTGCATCCTGCTGTTAAACCACATTGAAGACGCATTCCCCTGCAGAATAGGGCTTTCCTCACAGTGACTAATAGCTACCTGGAATGGTTCGAAATGTTTTGGTACTTGAATAAGGTTGCAAAGGGTACTCAGAAAAGTTCAAGCACTGAAATCCACCCTGTCACTAGAAAAATCCAGTGTTGCAGGTATTCTTTTGCAGCTCCTTACTTGGCTGTTTTAGCACTGCTGAACACCAGGAATTGATTCAGGGTCTGCATTCAGTGTCTCCTGACTCGTGCACTCATGAGAACAGGGCTCAGGCCAGAGTTTCTTTCTTGCAACAGCACAAAAATTCCTGTGTAGGCAGAACTGGCAAGCCTAGAGTCAGCCCCTGACATTAAGTGTCAGGAAAGCCATTCTAAGTAGCGGTAGTAAGATTACTCTCAAAGACTCAACTTGATCATAAAGGTTCCCTGCTGATTGCTAGCTCCTAACCTGAATGCTCCAGTTTCACCATTCTGTTCTGATTTTCTTTTTAGTCCAGAGCTGCAAACACTCATTTTCTTTCTGGATAAGCTCTTGTCCCTTCCAGCTATCTGTGTGGCACTGGGAGTGTAACCCATCCTTCACCAGTACTAGGAAGGAGCCCAGTTCAAAGGCTGCACACCAGGCTCCAGGGTTTGGATGATATTACAGTAATTACAGAAACAGAGGTCAGCTGCCTTGTAAAACTGCCTGAGCCAGTAGTTTGTCGCACTGCAAGCTCTCTTTGCAAGACAGACAAAAAGGTCAGTCTTTCTAGAAAGTAAGTAAGTGAAAACGGTCCTCCATCATCTTGAAATACTGATGTAAAACTCTGGATATTTTTATCAACTTCCAATTGAATTTTCAAGAAGGCCAAGGAAGCTAACTGCTATAAATGCTGCAGACAGAAAAAGGGCTAGATTTTTGCAGAGGTAAGGCACCAAACAAGCCTAACCATAAACCACACCACGTGCTCAAAATGCGCCATGTATTTTAAGGGCATTCTTTAAAACAAAAACAAACAGACTGGTAGAGGTGGCTCAAATTTTCCCTCTGCCTCTTGCTTGATGATGAAACACTGGAAAGAGAGTGTGGGGGAAATTTTCCTGCCTGCTCAGAGCTCAGACAGGTCAGCCCTATCCACCAACTATGTCTCTGCTGTAGTACTGGCAAAAGGGGACGTGTGACAACAGCTCATTTGCACCAGTTTCCAGCATGGCATTTTCATTTGACCCCACTTTGGTGCTCAGGCGTTGGGCTTTGCACTGAGCTGGCCAAATTTTGCAGTTTGCAGTCCCCTTCTGCCGATTGTGCCACAAGAAGCAGTTATCTTCGGGGGAGAGAGAGAGAGAGTGGACAGACTGAGGCTCATCAAACTGTCAAAGCCTTTAATAAGAGTCCAGTGTTGCAGCTTAAAATAGCCTTTCGATTGAAGCGGAGAGATGCATTCTCAGCACAGGCTGGCTGACAGGAATGCATCATTCCCGTCCGGGCTCTGACGCAGTGTGGTTTGGGACGACTTGCTTCTCTCCACTGATCAGGACTAATATGACTGTCTCATGAGGCTGTTCTGATTGGTAATTAGTTAATGACTGTGAAGTGAAACTACATGTTTGTAATCACTGAATCTTTCACCAGTTAGCTATAAACGTCTGGCTGTAACTATAAGATATCTTGTAGGACTTTAAAATTGTTTTATCTTTTTTTTCCATTCTTTATTTTTAAATGAGCATGAGCCCTAGCAAAAATTTCCTGTGTTGCTGCCTGTGCTACGGCAGGCTTTAGGTTGAATGGCTGTGTGCCGCACTAGAGGCATGCACTTTGTAGGTCGGAAGGCTTGGCATAAAACCAGAACGTTAAGTGCAAAGCAGGACTTCAGCGTGCTCTGTGGGATGCTCAGATCTGCTGAACAGAATGACCTGGGATGTTATCAGAAGCTGGGGGATTATATAACTTCTCTCTTTCCCCGCACAGATTTACAGGCTGCTGTTAGCTACAATACCACGACTGCAGTAATTTTCTCCTTCTAAGCCTGTAGCCAACAGGCAGAGGGAGTCCTTTCCCTGAAAGAAAATTCTTGCCTAAGACAGCCTAAAGGAAATCCCTGAGCAGTCCCGCCAGTGAGCACCCCTTGCCCACTGGAGAGATGTTTATACACTGCTCGGTCTAAACCAGAGTCCTTTTGGCTTACCACCCCGCCCCATGCTCTTCAAAGAGAGCTGAGGAGAGAAAAGCTCTGAGGATTTTGAATGAACTCAGCCCTCCAAGGGAAGATGAATCGGAGGTCGTGTTCTGTAGCGACCGATCTAGTCCCTGCCACACAGTCATGAAACACCATACGGAGGCTCCTTCTCTCCCTTTCAGCAGGTGGTTTAGGATTACTTTCCATTCAGATAGTGCCTGGTACTCAGCTTGACTGTGGCCCAGGGAGGAGATGTGACAATTTCCTGGAGGTTTCTATACATGACAGATGTGGTACTAAGGTGCAGGCGCAGAGGCTCTGTGGGCGTGGAGGTGCCCAACTGGGACCTGACATGCTATGGGAGGCTGATAAATCCACCCTGGGCGGCTCCCGCCTGCTCCGGTCAGAGGCTAGTAGGAGGGCAGTAGGAGAGGCAGAGGCTGCAATTGAAACTGGGAATTGGCTAAGGACTTACTGGCTCCCTCTTCATATCCTATAGACATCATCTCTGCCCCCAAACCAGTACAGAATTGCAGGACCTTCTCAGGGTTTGCTCAGGGTTTAAATGAAAGCAAAAAGATACAGCTGTGTCAGGACTTGAGCTGGGATCACGTGGTTCACTGAACGCTGAGATAAGAGGGTGTCTGGAGAGCTAGGGACTGAAATCGCAGTGAAGCGTGTTAGTGAGTGGTGCGGCTGTGCTCGGGGTGGATTAAAAGTGCATTCAGCTCGAGAAAGGCATGGAGAGGAACAGGGAAGAAGAAACTGGCCTATGTTTCTTTGTGGAGTACGTTGTGCCTAATTCTAGTGAGTGTGGTTAACCCTGAGGTTTCATAACCTCATAACCATCACGCTTATCTGCACGACCCAGTAACGAGAAAAAAAGAGGCCTTATGATAATCCCATGACTGAAGTAAAAGCACTGCCTGCTGCTTTTGGTTGTCCCTTGCCTGCTGCTAGCAAAGCTTGCAACCAGACTAGGAGCCTTTGGCTGCATGGGTTCGCCACGCTAAACAATACGCCAACAACTGGCCTTTGGGATGTTTTTGGAAAGAATGCTGTGGAGAGTTCTTTGGCTGCATCAGCATCTTTCTGTGATGGTGTCGAGCCAAGGAAAGGCCAGAAAATGCCCGGTAAACTCTTTGTTGATGATAGCAGGGAACAGGCATGAAAAGAAACCAACCTACCTGATTTCATGGATTCACTGTAGCTTATCAGCTCCAAAATCAGTAGGCTCTGGCTTGTAATATTGACAAATTTGTTTCTGTTGCTTCTGACTCTTCAGAGTCAGCATGGGTATCATATGGGCATCACTAGAGGCCAGAGCTGCCAACAAACCTATTTAACTAATGTCCTCTTGCTGCCAGGTGAAGGAACATTCAGCTATACCTTGTAGCACAATAGTAGCCATGCTGCTGACAGCCAAGCTGTTTTATATAGGTCCTAGCTTCCTGGTTCCCATTCAGGTATGTTTCTTCCTGTTCTGTAACAAGAAACCAAGTCTCCAGCTTCTCCCAAGCCCTCCAGATAGCTGCCCCATAGCACAAGTTGAAGCAATCACTGCAGTGTTGTGTGCAGTGACAGTAAATCCAAGCGAAGCAGCCTTCACTGTGCACATCCAGCAGTGTGACATGGGTGCGTTAAGTTAACCTTTTCAGATAGGCATCAAACATTATTACATCCTCAGACCTTATTCCTTCAAGCCAGGTCCTAGTTAGTCACAGGACACATGGACTTGCGTAACCTTCTGCTTTCCAACACCCTTCCCTTCCACCAGCGTCTTAAACATAAGAAGCCTTGATCAGATCCAGACCGTGCTCAGTGCAGGTACTGATGCAATGCGTGGGTGCAATGTAAAGCCGTCTTGGGTATTCTGCATCAGTGATTTTACCTGTCTTCCTCAGCTGATATGCCTGCGCTGGTGACTAGATGAGAGAGAGATGAATCTGACATTCAGAACTGCTTATTTTTAAATTGTCCTTTACAGTGTCTCTCTCTCACCTACTCTGGCAAGTTAAGCAATTGAATCCAGGGTCATAGTGAGAACAGGAAAAGAATTTAAGATGCACAGCCACAGCTGTTTAAGCCAGTCTGAGCCATGCTGCTGTGGTCCCAGTCTCTTCTACCCTATCCTCCAGCTACATAGTCCTGCCTCATCTCTTGAACTGGTAGTGGTGTTTGTCTGACGCGCAGCAAGCAGGTTCGAGGAGCAAAACTAGCAGAAAAAAACCTGACATTAAGAAAAAGGAATAGGTTTTTGCTAGTTTAGCTGAGCGGGCTCATGTCAGGACTGGACAACCTGCTGGAGAAAGTTCTTATTTAAATCGGCTAAGGTGCACGCTTAAAGTGCACGTAAGGGCCATGGGCCACATAAGGGCAGCAAAGCCTTTTCTTCTAAACCGTGGGGGGAAGGGTGTCTTGATATTTTTTTACTGGTAAACTGATGTTAGCTTGGTTCCCACAGAAAGTGTAAGCTTTTTTTTGTTTGTTTTTTTTTCCTGTGACTCAGTTCTCGACTGTCTTCCCCCTCTGAGGTCTGGGGGTTTATTCTCTTGACAAGTAAGTTTCTTTAGTTCATTGCATTTCTGTTGTAGGGCATGGAAGATTTAATCTCTCAAAGGAGAGAGACCCCTTAATGTGAAACGATGATGTAATGCTACCTAGTGCTCATCTGAGTCTTCCAGAGGAGAAAAATCCACCTGAAACTTGTCGAGATTCTTGGCAGATTGTATTAAAAGTCTGATTTATTTATCTCTCTTTTGCATATCACCATCTGCACTGCTTCTTGCATATCTCCATGGAGATGAAGAAATGAGACTGGATAATTTCGTTCCAGTGTTGCGTCCCACTAGATACTGTACAACCGCAGCACAGAAAGCTGGTGCCTGCCCCTGAGAGCTCCCAGTCGAAGGCCTGCTCCAGCTGATCCTACACAGGTCAGAGCACTGCAGCCTGATTCTGATTCCTTACACTAACTAGCAACTTCATTTCCTGAGCATGTGGGGTAAAACCCTGCTCAGGGTGAGCAGTAATACCAGAAATGGGGCCAAACAAGAGTATTCCTCAGTTCTGCATTGAGAGAGCTCAGAGAACCCTTTCATTTCCTCATGCAGCGCTGAGGTTTTTCTTTTCATTACATCGTTCATTGGCTTACAAGAAAAATGATCCCAGCATTTATGTGTTATCTGCGTTTTTTTTTCTTTCTTTAAATTTTAAAATGTTGCATTTAGCCAAAAAATTGTCAATGCCTCTTTAAATGTGTACGTTGAAATTATCCCCTCTGTATCTAACATCCATATACGAGTGCTATGCGCAGCTCCATCTGCTCCAGTATTTCTCAGCTGTTTCTATGCTCAGTGTAATGGCCAGCATATACACAGCTAACAACTTCAGAGCATAACAGTGAAAAATTAATCTAAAGACTGCTATAAGTATTGATGCTTTAGTTGACTGACTGTTTTTTTTTAATTTTGAGTTTTCTGTTTGCCTGTCACCACAGTGATTAAAAAAATGTATGTTCCAGTAGCCTCTCTTCATCATGGAAAGTTGGGACAAATAGTCTGTTGGCATAAATCAATGCAGCTCCATGGAGGTCAGTGGAATTATGTTGACTTACACCAGCTAAAGGCTTGGCCCATTCTTTCAGATAGGTTTGTGTCCTATCTCTCTCTATATAAAGCTCTTCCAATGTTTCAATGACATTAAAAGAGGGCTTTCTTCCCAAACACCTTTATTTATAGCTTTCAGATGGTGACAGGTCAAAAGAAACAGAATGGAGAAACAGACCAATTCTGAATTGTGTCTGGATAACTCTTTTTTTATCAGCTAAATATGAATGGATGTCTTAGGGAAAAATCTTTCTCCTCCCATGATTTTCTGGATAATACAGATTTTCTGGATAACTTCTGGAAATTTTATTCTATATATCTGCAGTGTGTAATTCTGACTACCAGTTAACAATACTTAGCCTTTATATAAAACTTTTTGTCTAAAGCTCTCAAAGCATTTCAGCAAGGGAAGACTGTGCCAAATCCTCATTTCAAAGAGAGGGAAACCCAAGTGCAGAAAACTAAAACAACATGTCCAGGTTTACAGTGCAACTCCACAGCAGCACTGGCAGTAATAGCTCTCTGCTCTGTCCTCTTTATTTCACTGGATGTGAGCTGTATTTATATATGGTGGACTTTTCTGGTTTCTTTTGCAGCTGGTCACTAAAGACAGAATTTCTAAAAGATCCTGAGAATTACACATCCAAATCCTGAAGGCCTGGAATTGGGAACATCTGAGCAACAAATTGTCCTTGCTAAAGATGATTTTGGAGCCAATAAGCCTGCAGACTTCAGCCTTAATGTAAGTACTTTTAAAATCAAGATAAACTCATCTGCTCCCCCACTGAGCCGTACTCTATTGGTATTTGCCAGGTGCTGGAGTCTCGTTCTCAAGGCATTTTCTGCTTGAGCAAAGAGTTGAGAGGGGAAATGGGGACAGAAGATGGGAACAATCTGTCACTTATGGCTGCTCCTTGGCATTCCCTTCCCTGTAGTCTGGAGTTACCAACACAAGTTCACTTTATGTCTGGGATTCGAACCTGTGTCATTATCTGGGTTTACAGGCAGAAGGGAGGGAAGAACGGCTGGGATGTGTGTGCAGAGGTGGATGTTCAGGCCCTTCAGGAAGTCGGAGTTTGCTTTGGTTCAGGCCCTTCATCAAGTCAGAGTTTGCTTTCTAGCCCTACTCTGTGTTCCCATCTTCTCCCCTTGCCCTCCCCACTTGCCTTTTTTTTTTTTTTTTTTTAAGGTGTCCAAAATGACTCCTGAGCTGCTGAGGTGGCATCCCCCCTTCTCACAGTGCACTTCAGATTAGCAGCCAGGAGGGTTACTTAAACCTGACCTTCTCATCCCTTTCTCCCTTGCTCCCAGAGCCTGGGCAGCATGGGTGCCTCCGGTCACCAAACCATCTGCCAGCCCTCTGCCAGTACCGGGCTCTAAGGTCAGGCTTTGTCCCTGTGGCTAGACAGACAGATTTCTGCTGCACCACGAGGCTGCTCCCAGTGCCACCCAGGCACCATGAGTTGCAGAACTGCTGCTCTGTGCAGGCATTTAGAGATCAGATTTTGTCGCTGATTTAACTACGGGCCAAAGCCTGCAACAGCGCTTGAAAAAACTGGCGGCGGATCAGTACAGGGTGAGACGTGACTTTTAACAGTAGGGAGGTGACATTTTAATTTGACTCATTCTTATTTCATTATGACTGTCCAACTGGTAACACTGGGTTTTCAGGGAGGTCACAGCTCCCACATTCCTCCTACCTTACATATATATATAATATATGTGTACATTTTCCCACTCTTACATTATCCAGAATGAGAGTCATGCAAATTTTTTACCTTACTCTGGGGTGATGCAACGGGTTTAACTAACAGTGGGTCAAATCCATCGTACTTTTGCCCTGTGGGCTGCCTGCTACTGTGGGCAAAGCAAGCAGGACTCCTCCTGTGATGTTATACTGCGCTCCTAAAGCTGGTGGGCTATTGAGCTCTTGGCTGATGGCACACTGCAGTAGCAGCAGCACAGCATACTGGTAACAGCAGAATGCCACAAGTGTCTGCCTGGGGGTTTCACTGGGCTTGTCAATGGGCAGTTTTATCCTGTAAGGGATGCAGAAGAGAGGAGCTGGCGTGCAGGGACCCCCTCTTGTAAAATGTCTATCAAAACAGGAGGAGTGCCCTTTGTGGGAGGGCTGACTGGGGATTTTTCAGGAGCTACAGTGCTGCTGGAAAGCTTTTGTAAAATATAATATTGCTTTCGGGTTGCTAACAGAGCAAGTATTTTTTAGTTAGGGCTTGAGTACACTCCCATTAGAGGATAAGGACACCCACTGCTTTCAAAGGTGCAGGAACAAGCTCTTCGTTCTATTTTTTCTTTTTTTTTTTTTTTTAGCACATAAAAAAGTCCTATTAAGTTTCAGAAGAGCTGGTCTGTAAAAACAAATCAAATGGGTATCGGCTTTGGCTTAATCCTGTATCTTTCCCAGCCAGGCCATGGTTCTCCTGCTCTCTCCTTTTACCAGGCAAACGCACGCACACACACTCACACGCGTTCTCTGGAAATACTTACATTCCCTGTTCCCCGTAGTGATTGTAAAATTCCATATGGCTACAAGCCTGAATCCAGCCCACGATCCAGGTCTCCTTCTTGGGAATAGGGGGCACCAACACTTGCGCAGAGGCTCGGAAGTGAGGGGTCCGGTAGCGTAGAACCACACTGGATGACTCGTCAATGCTGGTGGGAATGGGATCGATAGAGGCTTTAACGTCAATCACTGAAATACTCTCCCGGAAAACTTTGGATTTGCAGCTAATGCTCTGAATACAGCCCATGGCATACCCCGAATACAGTCCAACGCAGCTCCTAGGGTACTCCAGCAATCCTGGGGAATATTAGGCATTGAAATTATCTGGTGCTAGATCAATTATAGATCTTTTTGGTTTGTAATCTCAAAACTGATATCCATAGGATAGAAAATTCATCATGTAAAGCCTTAATTTGAATGTCTGTCTTATGAGTACTGCTCCTATTCTGAGGATAGCTGCACTTCAGAAGCAAGAGGGCCTTTTAATTTTTTCCCCCTTTTAGTGACCCATTAAATATTTTCCTCAAACAGTCTTTGGGTTAAAAACAGAAAAAAAAAGTCAACTGAGTTCAATAAATAACGGTGTTGTTCTTAGCTGATATATTTAGTCCTTCCTTTTCTCAGATGTGGTCTGTCATTCACCATCAAACATAGGACAAGCCGGTATTTCCCTTTATTCTTTGGATGAAAAGCAGAATGTTGATCGACACATCTATATAAATAATGAAATAGTTTTTAGCCCCAGCTTGTCACAACCGGTGTGGATTTCCACTTCCTGACTTGCAGTTGTTCATAACTTCCTTTCGCACAAAATTACAATAATAACAGAAAAAAAGGGCGGGTGGAAAAAGCAAAAAGTAGCCAAATCTCCGGCTTTGGAGGTTTCTCCAACGGCGATGTTGATCGACACATCTATATAAATAATGAAATAGTTTTTAGCCCCAGCTTGTCACAACCGGTGTGGATTTCCACTTCCTGACTTGCAGTTGTTCATAACTTCCTTTCGCACAAAATTACAATAATAACAGAAAAAAAGGGCGGGTGGAAAAAGCAAAAAGTAGCCAAATCTCCGGCTTTGGAGGTTTCTCCAACGGCGATGTTAGGGCTTTGGCGGTTTGGGTTTTTTTTTTGTTGTTGTTGTTCTGTTTTTTTTTTTTCTTCTCCTTTTCCCTTAGCAATAGCCGAAGCCATCCACGGTCAGTCGGCGGGCGCCGGGCTGTGCGCGGGGGCAGGGGAGGGCGCGGGCCGCGCCGCTCCGCGCCCGCCGCTCCGCACCATCGCCGCCTGTGACATCCC